AAACTTTCAGCAAGCGTCGACCTCATAAAGTCCTTCAATTCAACGAAAAAGTCGGACAGTGTCCGACGTTGAAAAACACCGTGACCGTGACTTCCTTTGCTTCAAGTTTCCATTTGGAGAGTGTCAATAGCTTAAAGTAAAAGAGAATTGGAGAACATTCTGAGTAGGCATGTGGGGCTAATCGCAGATGTACCGTCTGCCTACCCGCCATCTACTGTGAGAGATTCGGGTGTGAGCACGTCCGCTGGGATGCAAGGGAATGATAAACTGTCCCTGAGTAGAGTGGCCCAGAGGCAGGGTTTTGAGAGTGGACTGTAGTAGCTACCACGTGGAACTCCTCTCCGCCTCGGCCTTCAAACTTTTCATTTGAACATTTGCTACTACCACCAAGGTCTGCATCAGGACTCGCCTGACCTAAGCTCACATGTTGGGCTGCAGCAGGGCAGCGTTCGCCCACTATTTGAGGGGTCAAAATAGTCGTGGCGGCCGTGCAAAGGCACGTTTCATCCGCATCTATTTTCAGGGATGATTGACTTGGCAGGTGAGTTACTATGCACTCCCTAACCAATTTCGAATTCCATGACCACCGTCTTACTGTTTGGGTTGGCGTGCAATAAACGCCGACTGGGGCCGAAGGCACAATGGTGAGGCTTACAACGCTGTTACTGCATACATCGTTCGTCGAGCGAGGTATAAGTGCTAAAAACTTATCGAATCCTCTAGTGACTTGCTTTGAAATTAAGTAATCAGACGGGGCCACTATGACTATAGGGTGCTGCGCTAGCAACAACGGACGAGGCAGATAGCAAAGCGATAGGCGAAGGCAAGTGAAAAAGGGGCGGAATGAACCTGGACGGCATACCGCGCCAGGTGCATTCAGGAATGAAGATGGTGAAAGCAACGAGTAGGCGAAGTTGAAGATGCCGACTCGCTCGTTCCTTAGCGGAATCGGGCGAGTGGAGAGGCGATTCCGAGGTTTTGGAGGTGGGTGAGTCCGATGTTGATGTTATATTTAGTGATGGGTTAGTAAATTAGGAGTTAATAGGGGATAGGTTGTGCGGTGGTCAAAGAGCACGTAGATATGGCGGGGTCGAGAAGGTAGTTCCCACTCGATTCTCAGTAGAATCCAGTGAAAGAGGTTGGTGAATTGGGGTTGTTGGCCATAGCGAATCCGGTGGAAAGGTCGGTTTTGGAGCTAAAGCTATAAAAAGAAAGTTCGTAAGAAAAAAACGTTGCGCAGGGATATGGAGGAAAGGAAATAAACGAGGAGGAAATGAGCATTTTTACTCACTTGTGGGCGGAATCAGGCGAGTGGAGGTTCGTTGTGAGGGTTTCTTGGCACTTCGAAGTGATTGGCCAAGTTAAATTTTGGATATGAATGTTGGTTTAGGCATTGCGAAGAGGGAGAGTCACGCCCGAAAGTGGGGCAGCAAGGCGTCGATGCATCTAACCATGTTTGGCAGAAGATTCATTTTTATCCTTTGCAGGGAACTCGAATGTGTGGTAGTGACAAACTTCGAGCTATAGGTTGGTTGGCGTGAATCGCAAACAGACAGCTTTCAATGTCTGAACAAATGTGACCTAAGGAATATACGCGCTGACACACACACTCATACACACAAAGGAAGGGAGGAAGGGACCTTACCGTTGAAAGTTAGCGAGATGAGATGAACTGAGGGATGAGCTACCGCGCTAAATAGAGCCCGTAGGATCAGTGAGGAGGTTGACAATGCAACCGTCCTCGATCTAGAGGGAGATTCATTCCCGGATCATAAGTGAAGGTGGGCGCACGAGTATGAAGAATTGCGGGATGCAGTTCACAGTGAAACTGCTGGCAGGGTCGCCCTCATCATATGCACAGGGGTGGGCCAGATCCCAACAAGGGCTTACTCTCGCATACGTTGCTATACTGGTCCCCGTGTACTCAGGCGTCTTAGTTGTTTGTTGCGATTGCAAATCTAGTGTCGAAGCTTATCAACCTTTCTCGAGGATGTTATTCTGCCCCTTTGCTATCATGGTTGTTCTTCTCGTATTTTTCCTCTCAAGCCACTCGCTTAAACTAAGTAGAAGTTTCCGCATCCCATTTCGCCACCACTTCCCAAGATCAAACTATTCAATTAATCGACTGCTCCACTCCACCCCTGCCTGACTATCTCTGGCGTCGCTCGCATTTGCTACCAACTTCCATCACTTATCCGCTCGTTCCAGCACTCCCTGCAAGATGACAAGTCACTTGTGGGACGATGGAGGTATTTGGGACGGTCTAGGAGGTGTGGGTCTGCGGCCCAATTGTATGACGTTCTTCTGAGCGATTTGGCACCATCTGCGGTTTGTGTATTTACTATTTTATATGGATTGGGCCTGCCCAACAATCTCCCTAGGCTGGACTGCGCAGTTGGTGCCAACTCCCATGGTTTAATTTTTCATCCCTGCGGTTTTTTTTTTTTTTTTTTTTTTTTCATCCCTGTGGTTTTGCGACTTCAACAGCTTCGGGAGTTATCTTTTAAAACCACCGATCAGAGGGAGAGTACTCGTCATCGTCGATTTTCTTTATCTACACTTGGCCAATTATTCTTTCAAGATTAGTATTTTCTTTCCAAGATCTGCGACTGGAGCAACCCAGGAGCAACATCAACGGATTAATCAGGAAGTTCCATTGGGACTCACCCGGCAGGAAGAAGTCCCTCGGCGGCCCGTCCTCCACTACCTCCAGGCGCAGCTATTGTATACGCAACTGGCGCAGAACAGGGCAGGCTGCGTCAATTCGCGCTGTGCGCTCTCAGGATTTTGTCTGCCAGATGCCGCACCCATAGCGCAGGCAAACCTGCAAGTCACAACAAGCAAGTCAGCCAGTTGCTTGGAGGACAAGTCGTTCACCTCGCCAACTTTGGCAAACGGCCCCACCCACCGTCGATTTCCCCTCGGTGTGTGGGCCTGCGGTCCAATTCTATGACTCTCGTCTGAGCTATCTGGTATCGTCTGCTATTTGTGCATTTATTATTTTATCTGAATCGGGCCTGCCCAACAACTCCACATCCACCAAAAAAGCATGACTGTGGCAAGACTGTGCCGTCGGACTTTCATCGACTCATCAGGCGGGCCTTCTTCTGCGCCGAAGAACTCAGGGCCTAGGTCCCACTTGCTGCTGTTCTTCATTTCTGGGCACCGAAGAACTCAGGGCCTAGGTCCCACTTGCTGCTGTTCTTCATTTCTGGGCACCGATCTATGTAATCTACGGTGGACGATAAAGAACACGCGCAAATGGGACCTACCAGTACTCCGGAGCCGTTCCGGGGCGTGGTCCCACTAGCAAAGAGGACTGGATCGAATGCCTGCATCTGGACGTGTTTAATGAGAGGTGCAGGAAATCGAGATTGAACTGCTGTGCATCTCTGCATAAAACACATCCAGATTCAGGCATTCGATCCGATCCATTTTGCTAGTGGGACCTCGGCCCCTGCCTTTTCTCGATCTCCACTTTTCATCATAAATTTTGGCGGGGTAACCAGCACAGTTGAACCGGGAGCACGAGGTTGCTTGGCGGGAACACAATGTTGCTACTCGTAGGCGGGCTCAAGCCACGTAACACACGCGACATCCAGGCAGTCGGGCTATGGCCCGCGCTCGATCACCAAGAGACCAAAATGCCGAGCGTATCTTTCCTGATTGTAGGCCGAAGTTGAACCCGCCATTCCACACATTCGGCGAGCGGTGCAGCGAGGCGCTAGCCGCCGGTAATCTCAAACAAGAGGCGGGCAGTTACGCGAGGGGAAGACAGAAGAGAGCCGAACCCGCTGTTTGCTTCGATCAACATATATGTAACTCCCTCGGTAGCATACTGTTCTCTCGAGCTTCGCGCCGGAAGCTACGTCTCTTCGTCGCCTTCCCTCTCTTCTCTCTTCTCTCTTCTCTTCGTCCAAAGTGTGCTTGTTGACCCCGGTAACTATAAAGGACATGGGCTTGCCGATTTAGCTGTTGGCCCGTCTTCCATGTCCTTCTCCGGAAACCGGGGGCTAGGTCCCACTTGCACGAATTAAGCGATATTGACCGTAGATAGCAAAGATCAACGGCCGAGAGCTCCTAATTTGCGCAAGTGGGACCTTGTCCCGGGCAACTGGTGGGGCTCTGCTAGAAGTTCAAGCCGAATTAAACTTCCGGTCGGCTAGGAGGATAATGACGTGACGAGTCAGACCACATTTCGACCAGGTTCTCTGTAACTGATGCTTACCAACTGATTGATGTGGCGCGAGTTTCACGCGAGATTCAGTCAGCACTCTAGCGATGGCGGCAGATCGTCGAGCATGATCGGATTGGATACTTCTTCTTCCGACGACTATGTCTATCGAGAGAACCAAGTGGAACTAAAGTGGAAGCAAAACGAAGTGAAAGCAAAACCAAGCGGGACTAAGTGGAACCAAGGGGAACCGAGCTGGCAGATCGTCGAGCATGATCGGATTGGATACTTCTTCTTCCGACGACTATGTCTATCGAGAGAACCAAGTGGAACTAAAGTGGAAGCAAAACGAAGTGGAAGCAAAACCAAGCGGGACTAAGTGGAACCAAGGGGAACCGAGCTGTCGAGTGGAACGAGGGCAAAATGAGTCATCTTAGCGATCTGCTGGCAGATTGAACGTGGCCATGAATCCCCTCTGAGATACAAGGCGCTCTTTAATGAGCGACGACCTCGATGTCGATCTGCTGTGATCTGTCTTCAGGTTGATCGTAATCTAGCCGAGTGAACAGTGTGACCCGCCGAGTGGAACAGTGGGACTATGTGGTGGGACTGCAGAGTGGGACTAAGAGCGTGACCAGCCGAGTGGAACAGGGAGATAATGTAGGACTGGAACCAAGAGTATGACTAGGCGACTGGAACAGTGGGATTACATCGTGGGAACAGAAAGTGGTACCACGAGTGTGACCCTCTGAGAGGAACTGTGGGACTTTATGGTGTGAAAACGTAGTGTGGGACCAAGAGTGTGACAAGCCGAGTGGAACCGAGATTCTATACCGACGAACCAGCTTCAGTCGATCTTGAACGTGCAGCCATCGATATCGTAGTGACATTCGTTGATCGTGCTACTTAGAAGACCGTGGCCGTTCGTTGATCTTGCTACCGTCTCCCCCCGAATACAACGCACCCTCATTTTGGCTGCACCGAACCGCAAAGTTAGGTTGTATACAGTCGTTATCAGCGTGCGTTGTCTTCCCGGGAAGACGGTAGCTAGATCCTTGCCGTTCCTTGATCTTGCTACTTAGATCTTGGCCATTCAACGAGTGTGGCTTGCCAATTAAGATCAACCTTTTTTTTTTTTTTTTTTTACCTCATCAGTCGACTGACCGTGGACGTTGATCGAGAGATTGGCAGTAAAGATCGTCCGTCTTCCCTGCCTCGAAAATGCCGATGTCAACTCGGCGTAGGGTGAGGGCAGTGGTAGTGGAGAGAGAGGGAGAGTCAGACGAAGAGAGCACGAGTGAGGAGGAAGAGGAGGAGGAAGAGGAAGAGGAGCAAGAGGAGGAGGGAGAGGAAGAGGAGGAACAGGAGCAAGAGGAAGAGGATCAGCGACGACGGCCTCAGAGGACCGATCCTGGAAGGAAGCCGATCAATATTAAGTTGAAATCAACGAAGGGATGCAAGGTGGGTCTTTGTCTGCATCATCCTCTCTCTTTTGTTTCTCTAAGTGTCGTCCCGTTCTCTTTTACTTTGCTCCCTGCGCGCCATTTCTTGAACCTTTGCTACAACTTCGCTCACCGGGCTCTACTTTCTCTTTCTTTCTTTTTTTTCTTTTTTTTTTCTCCCTCTCTCTTTCGATCTTTTTCTCTCTCTTCCCCTCTTTTCTCTCTGTCTTTCTCTCTTCTCCCTCTTTCTCTCGGCCCTCTCCTCTCTTCTTTTTCTCTCTTTCTCTTTCTTATTTTTCTCTCGTCGTTCTCTCTCTATCCGTTTTTCTCTTTCTTTCTCTTGCTGATTTTCGGTATTCTGTTTTAGGTTTCGCTTACCAAACTGCTTTCTCTCTCCCTCATCTCCTCTCCTCCTCCTCTCTTCTTCCTCTTTCTCTCTCTCTCTCTCTCTCTCTCTCTCTCTCTCTCTCTCTCTCTCTCCCTTTGTGTCTGTCTATATAACGTGGATAACTCCCTGAGTTCTTCCGCTACCCGTAGATCGATGATAATTCCTTTCATTCGTTGTCTGATTGCTCACAGTGCTTACCAAAAAAAGTTACTGTAATTTTGAACGAAATGTCAGGGACAAGGTTTTTGCAGTTTTAGGGAGGGCCCCTGCTGCCCTCCTCCCTCCCCACCGTGCGCTCACAGTGCTCTTTCTCTCGATCTTGTGACGAAGTTCCCTGTCACTAAAAAAAGAAAAAAAAAAAAAAAAGTCCCCTGCCACAGCGGCGAATGCTATTCTTGAGTTCAGTCAAGGGTGAACCTGATGATCAGGCAATACTTAAGCCGCAGAGTGGATACTTTGCATGTCCAAGGTTCCGCGTGTATCCGGTGGAAAAGCTTGACCAGATTCATATCAAGCTACAGTATCGAGAAGCTAGCAGGTCGTAGCAATGTCTTCGAACATGATCTGTGCCGCTGACCAGATTCAGGTGATTGAAGGGACCAGCCTGACCTTCGCTCGGTTAACATTAACCAGGTCCGTTTCCCAGGTTAGGTTCATCGAACACCATACGAAATCGCATGCAGTGAAGGCAGTTCCTAACTTCCAAGTTGTGCCAGGGACCAGTCCCTAAGTGCAGTGTTGTCTGGCCGTAATTTTTTTTTTTTTTTTTTTTAAAATAAAGGGCGACAGCCTTGAGATATTATCATTGAGGTGATCGGGCCCAAGCAATTCATTAGTACCCGTCTTCCCCCGAATACAACGTACGGTCATTCTAGCTGTATTTGACGCATATTTCAGTCTAGATACAGCTAGAATGACCGTACGTTGTATTCGGCGGAAGAAGGTAGTTGGTTTTACTTGTCAAGTTTCATCATCTGGATTCGAACACAGGTCTCTGTATTTCAACAGTTCATGGTGTGAGCCAGGCTCTTGGGTACGCTGGCCGTAATTTCGAACGAGTACCAGTCCCTAATAGCATGCCGTTTAGGCAGTCCCTACGTACCAGTCCCTAAGTTCAAGCAAGTACCAGTCCCTACTAGCATGCAGTGTAGGCAGTCCCTCCTAAGTAACAGTCCCTGAGTCCCAAAACAAGTACGAGTCCCTAATAGCATGTAGTGTCACTCCCTACGTACCAGGCATTAAGTTCCAGCAAGTACCAGTCCCTACGAGCATGCAGTGTAGGCAGTCCCTAAGTGCCAGTCCCTAAGTGCCAGTCCCTACGCGCCAGTCCCTAAGTTGGAAAGAAGGATCAGTCCCTAATGGCATGCAGTGTAGGCAGTCCCTACGTACCAGTCCCTAAGTTCCAGCAAGTACCAGTCGCTAATAGCATGAAGTGTAGGCGACGCCTAAGTACCAGTCCCTAAGCGCCAGTCCCTAAGTTCCAACCAGTACCAGTCCCTAATAGCATGCAGTGTATCTTTGCGATTGGGCCAATGACGCAGTCCATGAGGGCTAACCGAGACGCGTCTATTGTTGGTTGAAAACTATATTCCAAACCCCCTCAGGGGCCGAAAGGCCGCTGACAAAAAAAAAAAAAAAAAAAAGAAGCATGCAGTGAAGGCAGTCCCTACGCGCCAGTGCCTAAGTTCCAACAAGTACCAGCCCCTAATAGCGTGCAGTGTCGGCAGTTTTAAGTACCAGTCCCGTCCTACGTGCCAGTCCTAAGCACTACGGTAGTCCCACTTGCCTCATATTTGGGTTCCCAGCACAGCCTATACTCGATAACGGCCCCAGAAGTGTGTACCGGGTTGTTTGTGAGGATTCCCGGCCTCTGTTCAACTTGATAATGAAATTTGTGTTCCTCCAAAAAAAAAATTAAAAAAAAATAAAAAAAAATTTGGGTTGCCAGGAGCTGCTCTCAGTCAGTTACGGGCTGGCCTCAGTAGCGCTTGGTCGTGCTAAGAAAGCACTAACCTGGTCGGCTTGTGATTAGGTTCATAATTTCCCTGTCGGGTCTGGTGCTTAAGATCCGGTGATACCTGAAAACTGGATGTGTATTAGGCGTCGTGTTAATATAATTAATTTTTTCTTGTCGTGATCAATTTTTTACAGTGATTTCTGTAAAAGAAATGAAAAAACTTTCGATGAAATAGTAGTCATAAGAAAACATTTTTTTTTAAAGAGTAGTAATAAGAAACATGGTCGGACATCCGTTGAGATTGGAACCATACAGAGAATGAAGATTAGCATGGCCCCGGTGCAAGGATGACACGCAGAAATCGAGAAATGGTCCAAATTTTTATACGTGTGTGTTCCTGTTTTTCCGTACTCGTGTTCGGCCTTGGGCACTGGGCCCGGATATTAAAGAAAACATTGTTGATGTACCTTTGCTTATTGATCACGTCGACCCACGCGAATCTTTTTTTTTTTTTTTTTTTTTTTGGCCTTGGGCACTGAGCCCGGATAATAAAATTCCTTTTTCGGAAAAAAAACATGGGTGATGTACCTTTGCTTATTGATCACGATGACCCACTCGATTTTTTTTTTTTTTTTTTTTTGGACTACGTGGAATGAGTGTCCTACCTAGGGTTCTGTTTGGCAGAGGCTGACAAACCTGTCCGCTACCGCCGTCTCCTGAATACAACGCAGCCTGATCATGAATGTATACAAGCGATTTTTCCGGTCCGATGAAGTCATGCTGAGGGGTGCGTTGTGTTCGGAGGACGACGGTATTACCGTCTTCACCCGAATAGAACGCCCGGTAATTATCGCTGCATCTGGACCGAAAGTTGTGCCAAATACAGCTATAATCACCGGGCGTTCTATTCGGGTAGCTGAGCTCCTCGGCTGGAGAGGGACACTTGCGGGATATCGAACCGCTCATCACTCAGCTAAGGTGGAAGGGCATTCCCTTGGTAACGGAAAGGTGTGGGGTGCGAGTCCGGTCGATTTTCACAAGTATCGACGGTCCGCAGACTCGCGCAGAGTTCAATCATAATTTCAATTAATAGCTGTTGATCCTGATGGCACTCTCATAAGATGTGATTCACATTTCGGATTTTTTAATACGTCATAAATATTGGTGCGGAAAAAAAAAGAACAGAAACGTGATAAATACTGGTGCGAAAATCGACCTATTCATCTTAAGGTCGTCTTTTTGTTTATTATTATTATTATTATTATTATTATTATTATTATTATTATTTTAGACGGTCGTCCGTCTTGGCCCTTCGAGTATATCCTCATGCGCATCAGCCATTTGGTGCCTGCCCTATCACTACCGTCTTCAGCTGAATAGAATGCCTGGTCATTTTAGCTGTATTTGAGGCGACTTTCAGTCTAGATGCAGCATTTATTACTTGGAGTTGTATTCGGATGAAGACGGTAGGCCACCTTCATGATGACTTCATTGGCCGAGAACCCTTCTCTACGCCTTAACCCCTGCTTAAAAAAAAAAAAAAAAAAAAAAAAAAAAAGCCTTAACCCCTGCTGTACCTTACCTGCCCTTACGTCGACTCCTCTCCCCTCCTCCTTAAAGTGTACTCACATTGGGGCTTGTTTGACTGAGCTGTGGACGTAAATTTTGCGGTCAGATACATCAAGCTCCGGCTGTAATTGCGATCAGATACATCCAGAGAGGCCCGAGTGTGAGTATGCCCTCGGTGGGGTGCAAGTATGCCTTTTTAGGCAGACAGACGGGCGTGTAGGCCTTGCTGTTCAACCACGTGACCGTCGGCAACCTTGCGCCCATAAAAAGCAAAAGGGAAAAAGAGAAAATAACTTAAACATAGCTGCGTGTCCAACTCAACTGGCGTACTATTCTTTCGCCTTTTACTAAAGAATACCGTGGGTTAAAAAAAAAAAAAAAAAAAACTTAAAAGAAAGTAAAGAATGTAATAATGGCTGAAAGATACCCCAAATACATCAATAATGGCTGTATTTAGACTGAAAGATACCCCAAATACATCAATAATGACCAAACGTTGTATTCGGGGGAAGAAGGGTAGGGCTGGTCATTTCGATAGTGATATCTCAAGGCCGTCGCCCTTTTCTAAGAAAAGCAAATGGAGAAAACAAGGAGTATAAAGGGAAAGAGGAAGGGTTAAAAAAGAAAAAAGAAAAAAAAAGAGGAAGGGTTGACTTCCTCTTTCCTCCTTTTCAAAAGGGTTTTTCCTCCTCCTTTTCAAAAGGGTAGCTTCTGTCATTATCGTACGACTTTGATTCAGGATTCGAACGTGCGATCTGGTCATTAACAGTTACGTGTGTGTTCCATTCACCTACGTGGTTGGTGTGCAGTTCCTTTTCCTCCGCCACGTTGCCCCTTTTCTCCCCCCCCCAACCGGCCAACCCCTGCTCCTCGAAGATGTCGCTCTTGTTTCGTAGCTATGTGACAGTAGAGGTATAGTATACGTATAAATAGACGTATGTATGTCGTCAAACAGAGCTGCCTGGTAAGCCGTAGGCAGAGACGGAGAAGAGGACAACAAGCGAGGGGCTGTGAGAAAATACATATTGTGATAGAGAACTGTCCGGGGGCCAAGTCCCACTAGCAGCGTTGAGCTACCTCAACGCCTGAATGTGGACGCTTTTGC